TCTTGTGGCTCATCAAAATATTGGCCATGGTGATTGTAGAGGAAATTTGGTTGAGGATAAGTTAGTGTCGCGTTATAATCCTCCAGTAATATTTCGAGATCGGATTTATGGGATTCTTGCGACTCCTCAGAATATTGGGATTGGTAGTTATAGAGGTAATTTGAGTGAGAGTGAGTTAGTGAAGCATTGAAATCTTCCATCAGTATTTCGAGGTCGGATTTATGGGATTCTTGTGATTCCTTAAACTAATGAGAATGGGAGTTGTAGAAAAAATTTGGTGATACATAGTAATTAAGGTAAGAGTGCCTTAGTCTATACGGTGCAACAATGGAAATAATAATATTGATTGTTGGTCCCTGGCAACGGCGCCAAAAACTTGATTCATCCGCAAGTGCACGAAAATATCGAAGTAATATAAAAGATTGTCGAACCCACAGAGACCAATGTCAACCTACTGTAATCTATTGTCGCTTTGTAAAGCTAAGGCTAATGAATGATTAATTTAGGGGAAACTAAGAACTAAAACTGAAATAAAAATAAGTTTAAGGAAATATATATATGAAAAGAGAGACCGGAATGTGTATTCCGCGTACCTCTGGGACTCTGTAACTCGTTGGCTTATACTGATGTTAAAAATGCATTTAGTAGAAAATATCAATTTAAAGACTGAACCTCACACTCTCGTGATTTTGAATAAAGTTGCATTCTTTAACCATGAGATTTTGCTCTCTCTCGCCCATTTTAATTAAGGAATGCATTTTGAAAATTGAACAAGATCTAATTAATCCTAAATCGCTCTCGTTGTGTTTAGGATTAATGCATAGTTTCTACTATCCGGTACGACCCCCACGCTCTCGCAGTGCCGGCTCGAACCTTAGTTAATTTCCCACTCTCGTGGGAAAATCGTGTTAAGTAACCTCTCACTCTCGTGACAAAGCTATTTAAATTAAGTTTAAAAATAAATATCGAAATTGAATTTTCAAACAAATAATTAAGCCAACTTATTATCAAGTTCCTTCGGGAACGACGGTCCTCACATACCGGACTCAAAACTATTTAGTCGGACATACTTAAAGAAACAAACATGCAATTATAATTATTAACCATGAACATATGCATATTTAGATTTGTAATAATAAAACAATATTATAAGAACAAGAAACTAAAATAATTGCAAATAAATAAATCTGGAATAAAACTTGAATAAAACTTGAATACAATAAATCTTGAAACTTGAATAGAGCTTTGAAATAATGTCGGAAATATTGATCCAAGTGTTACAAATTTTAGGCCTACACTAATGGTGTGGTAGTTCCTCAATGTGAGAAACTACCACTTTTACATGAGTAATATGTCGCCTAAAACTATGAAGCGTTTCCGCGTACAAAACTTGGATCCTCAAAAAATGCATGCTCAACCATTTTTATAGTCTGAACTCATGGAAGTTACTTTGTGATTCATGTGGCAAGTAATGGAGATCATGGTTGGAGAAGTTGATAAAATCATGGGGTGAATGGGTGAAGTGGAGAAAATGGAGCTTTGTTGCAGACGTGGAGAGAATATTGAGATTATGGTAGGAATTGTGTGTCGTGTGACACACATCTTTTAAACATGTGCCGACTGTAACATCATGCGTACCGAGAAGCACACATATTCTAACATGTACCGATCGTAACATCATGTTTTCCAAGGGGCACACATATTCTCAAGGCGTGGCGACCGACATGAAGGCTGTGACGACCGTCACAGTCTTTTGTCATGCATTTTCCTGCTATTTTTCTGCTACAATGTGATTTTCATCTCATTTCTTTTCCATTTCTTCCTCTTTTCTCATACAAGTCTTATGGAATATAAATACCTGAAATGAAATAGAAATACCGGCATAACAAGATAAAATGAATGAAAAACAATATAAAAGTGCATGTGAATCAAGTCGAAAATACGATATAATTTTGTGTTATCATCTAAATAGGAAAATTTTCCTTTTCTATGGTCCTTTGACACCCTAGATTTCTCTGTCTTCAAATGTTCGACATATCGAACTTTATTATCTAGTTGGGACATATCTATAATAGATTGAGGATCAAACTCTTTCCTAGTAAAATAATCTAACCCCTCAGCCGCCATTTCGACCAGATCATGTTCAGGAACTCTAGTAAAGCATCTAGACTTTAGAACCTTAATCCTATTTAAATAATCTTCCATTGACTCGGGCAACCTCCTCTTGATTGAGGATAACTATTTCAAACTTATCTTAGGCTGACTAACATAAAATTGCTCATGAAATATACCTTTAAGTTGTTCCCAAGTGCGTATGGAGTTTGGAGTCAACATCGTAAACCAAGTAAAAGCATTTTTTGTCAATGATTTAGGAAAATATCTTAATTTTAAACTCTCGTCGTTGGCGATATCACCAGCTTCTGTTTCGTACCTAGCAATGTGTTTTATGGTCGAATCATTGGAATCACCAGTAAACTTGGTAAATTTAGGTACCTTACATCACCTAGGTAATTCTGTCTGTCAAATGTAATCAGGCAAGGGCGAAGAGTAATTGGGCCTCCGGAGGCCAACATTTACTCCAGATCGTGTTAATGCTTTTTCTACCATATTCACTATGTTGTTACGCTTAACGATGGCATTTCTTAGCACTCGATTTACATCTTGGTTTCTTTGAACTACGACTAGCCTAGGTTCGCATTGTTCAACGAATTCTTCCTCTTCATAAATGGGTGTTTCCACTCTTCGAGGTCTAAAAGGACGCTCATTGTTGCCCCCCTTCAATTCTTCAAAAACTCTCAACGGTCTGTGGCGTGTTTGAGTTGGTTGGACCACTAATGAGTCAATCAATCTACCTATTTGGTCAACTACAAGATTAAGGGCGACTCTCATTTGTTGAGTTAAGACATTTACTAACTCTAAATTACTCTCATCTATTTTTTGCCTTAAAGCCATAACGGAAGTAGTATTCAAAGGTGGTGTCGACTGCGTGATATAACTAACACCACCCGGTCGACCACTTGGGACATAACTGCCTTGGTTTCCAGTGGCCATTGTGTTTTCTGTATATGTGAGCGAGTTTGACTGTAACCCAAACATCATGGAATAAGGCATACCATATTGGTAAGGGACAAATGATGATCCTGGATCCCCTGGAAAGAACGATCGATTTGGGTCAAATGGCGATATCCCATGCCTAGGTTTTGTCATTGTGATTGTTGTCCCTGAACCATGAACAACGATCGATCTCACGGGAGATAAAACTATCGCGCTTGGAGTTGTGGTACTTACCGGTATGACATCCACATTTTGTGTAGAAATCTTCGTACGTGTCATATTTGTGTCAGAGCGTGACATTTTAGACGGACAAAAGTTTACCACTTCTCAAATTCATACACGCACTGACTATAAAAAACTTTATAAAACTACACACAAAATACGAAATTATTAACAATGTCCCACTAGGCGTGCCAATTTGTTTACCTCTGGTTTTGGTAAACAACGTTGGTCTCTTAATAGAAAGTTTACTGGTGAGATCGACCAGGGAATCTCAATACAGTGCTTTAGTTTTTGAGTGTTTTCACAAAGTATGTTCAAAAGGGTTCCTTCGGCTAAGGCGAAACAAATTTAAAAGCAATAAAGCAGGAATTGTAAAATAAAGCAAAGACGTTTTAAACTGTAAAAATAGATGACATAACATCAAAATAATTGAAAATTGGTTGATTCAAACATACACCGCCCTTGCTTGACTCATCTCGCTTGTTCGCTTGGGTACTTTGAGTGACTAGCGTGTAGGAATGTGAAAGTTTGAACCCCTTACACTATGCACTAAGTGCTTTATTTATAATACATGAAAATAACTACTTTTCAGCGGGCTTCGGTTCTTTATGAGCCACATGTCTCTTGTAATTTTCCTCCATGAACCCACGTTTTCCATCCGTGCTATCAAATCCACGTTCTCCATTCCTGCTATCGAACCCACGTTCTCCCCTCACAGCGCTTTGCTTTGCTAATTATGTCCTCTTTTGGGCTTTTTAACACTCCTGGACCCAATTCATTCCTCATGAGACCTCTTTTCTGGTCGAGTGCGTCCACAAACCCAAATAGGACTTTTATGAAACTTCTTCTGATTGACTGCTTCTGTGATCGATTTCTTATAATTCAAAGTCTTCAAAAAAACTTTTTTTATTTTTGATTGGATTTTAACCCTTTATGAAAATCTTAACCAACACCATGGTAGATATAACTAGAAATATGTCAAAACTTCAAACACAAACAACTAATGGTAGTGAAGCAAATAAAATATTACTAGAACTAAGTCCTTAAACGACAACACAATTCTTGCACAGCACATGACATGAATAATTAGTCACAACTCACAAGCAAATTATACAGATACCACATTTATAAACAAAACAATGCATGCACAATTTATAGCACTATGGGGGAAGGTTGGCAACGAAACGTAAAAGTAAAGCAAACGCACACGTGAATTTGAGCATTATAATGCAAAAGTGTCTGTCCTTTTCCAATTTTACCCTCTCAAATAAGGGCAATAATGGTATACTTATTTTATCTGAAAGCAATTGAAGATTGAAGGGGCGAATCAAATTTTGGAGTCTTGCTAAAACATTCACGGGAGGAAACTGGTGAATGATGTTGAAAACCTCTATTAATTGTGTCGTATAGAAATGAGTTGTATACTAGTATGTCACATGAAAGCTAAGCTTCTTTTTTTAACCTACATTTTTAAACAACCACACATGTATGTGAAAGTTTATAGTGTTTAGGTTTTATCTCGAATAATACTTCCTACATGATTTTGGAGTGGAAAAGGAAGTTGAGAGTTACTATCATATATAGTAGATCTAGATTTTCTTTTCTCAATCAAAATATGTGGTTCACACTCTAATTTTGCGTTTTGGATTCCTTTCAACACTTTCAACAACATTTTGAAGTGCATCTTCTACACAACAACATTTTGAAGTGCCCAAAACTAAAAGATGATAGACCTCAAATACATATGGGTACTCATTTCAATCAACAGACACATTCTCACCACAATCCAAAACGAAAAAAGCAGAAAATCGCTAAACTCAAAATGCATCACAACCATCAAAATCCAAAACCAACAACAATTCTTCGAATTCTCCCACCAATCAGTCCTCTCCAATCTCTACTACGCCATTGACGCCATTGAAACCGCAATTCAATCACACCATTCGGAAGAAATATCTCTCAACCTAAAAAACTCTGAACAAATGCTTCAACTTCCGGCAATGCTTGACGAAGACGACTTCACTGCTTCGATTCCGAATCGTTACTTGGTTTGTTGCTCTTACTTTTATCTATCCCTTGTTAGGAAGCTTCTGGGGGATGAATGGCATGCTGCGCTCCATTTTCTTCAAGCGGTTTTGGTCGCGCCGAGGGTTGTTTGGACTGAGTTTGCGCCGGAGCTTTGTGAGAGTCTTTTTAGGAAGTCTGAGAATACAAGTTTGGAGTTTGTTTCTTTCAATTTTGAGGAAGAAATCAATGAAGTTTTTGTTAAGGAGAAGGCTAGGAGATATAAAGAGTGTTTGGTGTATTATCAGGTTATGCTTTATGGAGAGATTCCTTGGTGGAGCAGTTACTGCGGCAATAATTCTGCAAATTATATGTAAGATAATTCATCAATGAAAGATAACTTCAATTATTACTTGTGTAAGTGTCTGACACGACACTGATACATCTCGTTACGTTCAATTATTGTCAGTGTCGTGTCTGTGTGTTTATTGATTCATTCAATCATTTCATTTGCTCCAATTATTACTAGTGTCGACGTATAAGTATTAGTGTAGTGTTGTATATGTGTTGTGTGTCGGTTATTCATAGATTTGGTTAATATGTTGATTATGCTAACAAACATGGATGGATAAAAAGTTTGATTTCAGTTATAATCCTTAGTAGTGTTTTCTAATTGTTAATGATAAAATCCTGATAAGAAAACATAAGATATAATTTGTTTAAGCTACGATATTGATTTTGTATATATTACTTTATCGTTGAAGACTAATTTACTGACATGGACAGGGATGTGTCAAATACCAGCTGTGTATCATCTACTTCAGTTCATCATGAATCAAGATTGAAAACTTGCAATACAGTGAGCTTCTATTTATTTATTTATATTACTAGCATAATTAATTCATTTTATTTCAACATTTCAAAAAATTTACAGTATAAAATAAGCAACTTTTGTTTCCCTTCAATATTGATTTTGCAGTATGAGAAGATTCACCCAATGGATCCTCAAGATGTGATGCAAGAAAAGTTGGATGCGAGAAACATAAATAAGTTTGATTCTAGCATGTTCACCAGGTCAATTGAAGATGTTGCTTTATCAATCTCGAAACGGATAGAAAAAACAAGTATCGATTTAAATTGCCGTGTTGAGGATTTATTAATCGAAGAAGCATTGCAGCCACTAGAATTCCATCTCTTTGATCATGCAAGCAGCAGACTTAGGCTCGGCCTGAAAAATCACGAGGAAAGTTCGAATATGAAATTGCAAACGTCCTTAGGAAAATACGGTGAAGAATATATTGTGAACACTGCTTCGATTTTCGAGAGTTTGATTTGTTCGTCGGGAACTAATTATGGTTCATTAAAGGATGTGATTTTGGATGAATTGCTAATAGTAATCTCTACTTCCAAAGAGGAAAAGGAACTAAGAGCATCGGTATCAATTCTAACAACAATAGTTTCACGGAACAAGTCAATTATAGAAGATGTCAAGAAGAAAGGTTTAAGGTTATGTGATTTAGCAAGTGCTCTAAAACAAAATGTTTATGAAGCAGTAATACTAATCTATTTGATAAATCCATCTCCTATAGATATAAAAACATTGGAACTTCTTCCGATATTAGTCGAGATTGTATGCGCTTCATCACAAAGTTGTTACAAGAGTAATAAGCAAGAAGAATCGCTTCTTATGACGCCTCATGCAGCATCGTTGATGATCATTGAAGAACTTGTAACTTCATTTGATTATGCTACAAATAACATGCATTTGGAAGCTATTAGTTCACCTCATTTTCTCAGTGGACTTTTCGAAGTTGCTAAAAATGACAATCTTGAAGAGTTTTTCTCTTTGACTACCATTCTTATAAAATGCATGCAGTTTGATTCACAGTGTAGAAAATATGTGTCAAAGTTTACTCCTCTCGCTCCTTTTCTACACCTTCTAGATGCAGAAAATATTCGCGCCAAATGCACGGCACTGGAGTATTTTCATGAAATCCTATGCATACCAAGGTATGTAACTATGTAACCAATTCTTCGAATAGAATTTGTAGAGTAAGTACATTTAACAAGTATGTACAATGATATGTGTTTTGTTTTTCTATTTTCATTTTTCAGATCGTCAGCTATTAATCTGCTGCAGCGGATAAAGAGAGAAAGCAGAATGGATATTATGCAGATACTGATGCAATGTGCACACCAATTACAACCTGATCACCAGATTTTAGCTGCTAGCGTATTGATTCAGTTTGACACATTGGTAATCCTTCTTCATTTCATTAAAATATGATACTCATGTATAATACGTGGAGTTTGAAGACACTTTAATTTCTAACAAAACAACAATGTTCATGCAGAACCCAACTGATAAAAGCTTGTTCAGAGAAGAAGCTGTGCAGATTCTTCTAAAGGCATTGACATCTGAAGAAAGCTCAGAACAGATATTATCTGCATCCATTCTATCAAATCTTGCTGGTACATATGCTTGGACAGGAGAATCATATACAGCTGCATGGTTTCTAAGAAAAACAGGCTTGAACTCTCCCTATCACCAAAATATGATAAGAAACTTCAACTGGTTGGATCATAGTCTACAAGTAAGCTTCCAAATAGGACTATAAGTCAACAAATATAGGCATGAGAAGCTATGAAGGCTAAATACTTTAAAAATAGAGAATCATCAGGGTCTAACATGTATCCGATACCTATATGTGTCTGATGCTTCCCGATGCGCACTCTTAAAGGATCCAATAGTCTTTTAATTCTTTTTGAAAATATTTTTATCGATATTTCTCAAATACATCTTACCAACTAAAGACATTGTCTTTCAAATATGATACACTTGCAATACATCTTACTAACTAAAAGGTACAAAATTGTATGCTTTTTGTGACACATTCATCATAGTAGAAATAATATATTCTTATAAAGGAGATAAACAAATTTCATAACATGCAGGATACAAGCATAGATGTTTGGTGCAGCAAAATTGCCAAATGTATCATTAGTGTTGGAGATTCCATCTTCTATACTTTAGAGAAGGGACTAAGAAGCAAGATGAAAAAGGTTTCAAGAGACTGCCTTCTAACTCTTTCCTGGCTTGGATGTCAAATATCAAAAAATCCAGACAGCCTCAGTAATTCTGCATCTGAGATTATACTAAGAGGAGTTGAGCAATTTCTGCATCCTGGGATGGAATTGGATGAAAGACTTTTGGCATGTATGTGCATGTTTAATTATGCCTCTGGCAAAGGTATTGTCCTCACTCACCTCAGTTTATGTAAATTAACAAGTGCCAATTATTTTTTAAGAAAATGATGAAAACTTCACGAAACATGGTCAACGGACTCTACTAATTAAGACAACCTTTTTCATGTAGGAAAGCAAAAACTAATGCATTTCTCAGAAGGAGTAAAAGAATCATTAAGAAGGCTTTCAAACATAACTTGGATGGCTGAGGAATTACACAGGGTAGCTGATTTCTTGCTTCCAAACACATCAGTAAGTACTCATTTATGTACCGAGTTCTAGCACTTAAAAATAATATGCTAATTAAGCAACTTTTATAAATTTCTCATAATTAACATGATTCATGTTCACACATATATATCTTTGAGGCTGGTTGCAGTTTTAGTATAAATAAATTGCACTAGCTGATTTATTTTGTTGCCTTACCTTAATCATCATGGTGGTAAGAGCAGCGTATTTCTTGTGTTCACACACAAATCCTTGAGGTCGGTCGCAACTTTAGCATATCAGTTTGCTCCCTCATATACTACAAGGGACTGTTATTCAGCGGATATTCAGATGGATCAATTAAGGTAGGAACATATCTGATTTGATTCAATGAATTACTAAGTTTGAATAATAGAAAACCACAGCAGTTAGAGACGTAGACACAATTGGCCAAACTCCGTGATCAAATCTTGTGTTATCTGTTATCATTTTGCGCATCTATTTTCATTTTTTGAATCAGGATTGTTGTTCTAACAAAAATCTGTGTCTTGGTGTATTTAAAAGGTATGGGATATTCGAGGGCATTCAGCTAGTCTTGTATGGGACATTAAAGAACACAAGAAGTCTGTGACATGTTTTTCAATTTATGAACCATTAGACAGTCTTTTAAGTGGATCCAGTGATAAAACCATAAGGGTAAGGTTCAAACTTTTTCTATGGTTTACAATTTTCTGTTCTCCACCAAGATTTCTAGAAGTAAAAGGGAATGAACTAACTATCTTACAATAACATGCACAAAATAGGTGTGGAAAATGATCCAAAGAAATCTTGAATGTCTAGAAGTAATAGTCATGAAGGAACCAATTCATCATATACGCTCGCACGGTGAAACAATTTTCTCAATTACAGAAAAACAAGGAATAAAGGTGATGCTTCAAATTTTCCATGATTTATGACACGAAGTAACTGAAAACTCAAAGCAAAATCACACACATAGAACAAAATCCTCTCTATAATCAAACTATGTCATTTTAGAATTTAAATTGGGCCTAACACATCCCGACAATATCGGTCTGTAAGGTGAGGACTGTCTACCACTTCAACATCTATGACTTGACATCTGGAAGCATGACTCAAGTAACCTGATAGAAAGTGGCGCAACAGAACTTGGATAGGGATAGACTGATACTATCTTAGATTTAAAAAACAAGTTAACCATAGTTTTGCCAACATCATGCCTTGGATAATAAAAACTTGGGACAATTATGACATCTAATCAATTTCTTATTTCCTATTTCCAGGTTGTTAACAAATCAAGAGAGATAAGAGATATTTTCAAAGGTAAGCATGGGAAGTGCATGGCAGTGGCTCAAGGAAAGTTATATACTGGCTGCACAGATTCAAGCATACAGGTTAGTTTTGTTGTGTTGTTTGACATAAATTATGGCATCAACAAAATTCAAGCATGATATGGTGCTTTATTTTAGGAGTATAACACAACACACAACAGGGAACAAGAAATCAAACCACCAACAAGAAGTTGGAGAAAGCAAAGCAAGCCAATCAATTCAATTGTAGCATATAGAGATTGGCTCTATAGTGCAAGTAGGCATGTTGAAGGAACAACATTCAAGGTGAGAAACTAAAACTTTGAGCTTAAAAAAAGCTTTTCTTTGTCCTTACATGAATGGATTATATAGGAATGGAAAAGAAGTGGGAAACCCAAGATTTCAATCCTTACTGACAAAGGAGATAATGTAGTAGCCATGGAAGTGGTAGAAGACTTTTTATACCTAATCTCTAGCTCATCAACAAGCAGCATTCAGGTAAAAGTAAAAAACCTAATGCGACCCGTTCTTCCTCGAAAAGTAACCAAAACAGTGGAAAATCAACTGCTTAACTTTGAAACCAATTTATCGAACAGATATGGTTGAGAGGAGTACCAAAAAAGTTGGGGAGAATATCAGCAGGGAGCAAGATAACAAGCATCTATACTGCAAATGACATTATTTTTTGTGGTACTGAGAAGGGACTAATCAAGGTAATTAAGCTCAACCAACTCATCTAACCTCTTTTTATTCATTTTATTAGAAAGAATGTATAGACGTGATGATATTTCCCTCACCCCAATTTTTCGACAGGGCTGGATTCCTCTGTAGAAAGAACTTCCACTCATTGTGCATACATACATATCTTTTCAAGTTCAAAGCTTCTTACCAGCCAAGTATCACAACAAAGATAGACTGTATTGAATGCTTGGTCATGTTATATAGGATGCCATTTGTATCAGTGGTTACTATGAAGCCCGCGGAGACACGATGCAGACACGCCACATCAACTATAATTTGAAAAAGTGGAAGTGATTGAAGGTAGCAGTATCATGCAATGGTGTGTGTTAATATTGGACATTGACATGTGTTAGACACCTAATATGTCTTTGTAATTAGTATAGTAAATGCTTAAGAGATTGTCTTGAGTGAAAATCATTGTGAATAGTAGTTGATTATCTACCACTGTACAATAAATGTCAATATTGCAGTATATATATTGTAAAAATACCAATATGTTGTGCCTTTGAACTATATGACTTTGCAAATTTTGAGTAAGGTGTATATCTTAATGGAAGCTCTTACAAACAGATGAGGCTATGCAGAAATAAAAAGGTTGCTACTTGCTACTCCATATATATTGCAATTATATGTTAGGTAGGAGAGTTTTGGCGGGAAGATAATATTTTTAATTTTATGTATTTGATTATTTTTTAAATGATTAAATATGTTTTTAGTTCTTATAAATATATTAATTTTAATTTTTAATTTTTCTAAAAAATTTCTCTGACTTTAACTACCTCTAAATTTTTTCTTATCAATTTTAATCTTTGTATTTTTTTATCACTTTACATGTTTCAAATGATTTCTTTGAAAGATACGTGATTGTTAAAATCTTAAAATATCGTTAAGTCAGTTCAGTAATAACTGTGTAGGAAGATCAATTGTAGGGTTGAATTCAAACCCATTATATTATATGTCTAAAAAAAAATTTTAAATTTTTATTAACTTAATATCTTAAGTATTTAATTTTTAATTAAATAATTAAATCTTTGATTAGATGTTATAAATAAATTAATAAATATTAAATAGTTAAATTGTTAAACTTATAATATTTTAAGATTTTATCAATGACATATAATAAAATAAATTCATTTGAAACATGTCAATACCATGCAACTTTTGTAACCTAACCAAACTAAAATTGGTAACATAATATTTAGAGGAAGCAAAGCTTGAAAAAAAACTTAGAAGTAAAAATAAAAAATAAATATATTTATAAGGACAGTTTTAATTATTTTCTTTTAAGAGTAGAGGAGGAGAGACAAAAATCTCTAAAGACTACTTTTTGCTTCCGCCTAATCTAAATATTTGAAGGAAGATGCTCTATTAAAATTTTAATTATATTGATAAAATTATTTTTAATTTATGCTAAATTTCAAAAATATCTTTATTATAATTATAAATATTAAATTATATTTTTTTGTATTTAATAATATTATATTTTAAATTTAAATGTACTTTTGATTTGAGAATTTATTTCTACACTTTAGTGTCTTTTTGTGGGTCCTTGACGAAAAATTCAAAATATTCTCAGAATTCAAATGTGCATATTCGAACGCACCACGATTCATTTTTTATTAAATTGACTCCGCATATGCATATCTGAAGCCACCTGATTGCCTATTTGGATATGCATATCCGAATTTATCTCTGGAACAGAGAAATCAACCTCATTCATAACACAAATTCAACATAATTCATCGAAATTACATATATAGTACTATAGAAATTTAAAATTACATATTGTTATAAACGGGTAATTGAGGAGGTTGCAACATTTTGATAACATCTTTTCCTGATCTTTGAAGTTTCTCGTCCACCTCAACCGGACCCTTAGAAAAGTATCATTGAAAAGTACTCCATATAACCTCTAAATTATCGTCAATCTTGAGCTCAAACGGGATGAACTTTATGTTTTCTTTATTGTCAAGTGAAGGTGAACGATACTCAAGTTTGACCACCTTTCGATTCTCTGGATATTACAAGAAAAAATTCAGTATGGTAATAAGCTCGGCGAACGGCGTGTCCTGCGAGAATCTGAATTGAAGTGGCGACTTTGCACCACTGAAGTAGACAAAAGTAAAGTGTAGATATGTTTGTGTCATTTATGTTTGTGGTTTTTGATGGAGAATAAAATGATTTGGAGACCCTATTTATAGATTTTTTGGAGCAATTTGGACCCAAGATATCTTATCATGCTATTAGAACTTATTTCGGATATGAATATTCGAAATAACTTTTTTTTACCAAAATAAGGGGTATTTAGATATGCACATCCGAAATCACCACGTTTTTTATAAAAGTAGGAGGTTAATTCGGAAGTACATATCTGAAATAAGCTTTGTTGTGTTTTTTTTAAATGGAAGATTTTTTCGGATATACATATCTGAATTATGCAGAACCAGAATTAGCATCATTATTTGTACTAAAGAGACATGGAAAAAATAAACAGTTGTAAAACTAAACATAGATATGTTATATATGTGTTGAACCATATAGATTTTACATTGTGTATGATAATACATTCAAAAAATAGTTCGATTATATTTTAAAATGCACCAAACAAATTATCACCGCTTAAACCTAAAACTGGTTCTTTCTTTGACTTCTCCCAATTTGATTATCTCTTAAGCTCCATCAAATTGGTGAACTTTGTCATCCTTTTCAAAAATTGATCCGGCCAAGTTTCCGTCTCTTTTGCGGAATGTGTCATCCACTCCACTGATGTATCCGGAATAGAATACCCTGGTCTCAAATAATTCTGAACAAAATGGTGTGATTTAACGTACCCAATACACATGATACAGTCGAATGGATCTTTAGGCGGGGGAGCTCGAAGAGGAAAAACTATTTTAAAAAAACCATATCTCGTCAAGTCGATACACACCCTCTCATATGAACTGGCTATAAGATGACTCATTTCAGGGTAATATTGAATTAACAACTTCATGGTAAGAAGGAGTCCGCTTTGTTGAACTATCAACTTGTGTACTTTTCACCTTTTTAGGCGCACCTTTGGTTTTTACTGGTTGCGAATGAGGTTTCAAATTGGTGGTTTCCAGTAAGGCGGTTTTCCTTAAATGTTCTTTGATGTGGGATTTCATAGAGTCATCAACTTTAGAAAATCTATCCATTATCACTTCCAACTAGATTGTGATGGTTATGTTGGATGTACCTTCCTTTGTCGGTTCGTAGTCATCAAATCAGAGTATTTTCCAATGAGTGCAAACCTCATTCATACGTATGGAGGAATTGAGCTTCATTTTTTAGAAATAAGACAAGCACGTGGAAGCTCGTAAGTCATCCTAATTGTACACCCACACTTCAAACTATTTGGCCCCGTAATTTCCGCTCACTTTGCTTCATGATAAATGAAATTCAATCTCGCCCGAGATATATTGAGAACCAACTGTACGTATAAAGTGTTGTCTTTGAATCGATGTTCTAATACAGTTTTGATCCACCAAATGTTGTCTGAATTTCATTGTGCTAGTTTTGGAGCATTTTGTTCACTGTTGTTGCACCCCAAAATTTATCATCTTCATTTTAACCTTGATTGACTTATATTTCTATAACATGCACATACATTCATATCATTGGTTCTTTAGTTATGAGGTCAAGATATCTTCCATTTGGTCTTCTTCAGACAATAGAAGTTGGTTGTATTGTCAGTCAGTGCAAGAAAGGTCTCATGTCCTCACTCTTTTAGTCACTCAAGCTACAAGAATTTCACATACCTCAAGACATCTCAATTGTCTCATTGATTCATCAGAAGATTGAAAGTTGCAAGAGTATTTAAGTGAAACATTGTTCTCCTATTCATCTCCTCAGATTAGGGTTTTGGCCAAATGAAATATTTGATACTTGTATGAACCAAATACTTGAGGTATTATCTTATCATTGCCATATGAGACATTTTTATTCAGAAAGTTATTCATCATGTTCCATGGAATTAGGATTTTGAGATTGGATCATCACCTCCTAACACAAGCAGTCAAAATTAGGGTTTGTGATAAAATCAGGATTTCTCTGATTTTTTGAACAATACTTTATTCCATGCTTCTCAACATGTCCCTAAGCATCTATGATTGAAATATTGATCATCAATTTTGATTGAAAGATTCTCAATTGCACAGATGAATTCAAAACAATCAAATTGGGGAAAAGTCAGTCATGCAGTTAACAAAGTCAATTATGGACATTTCAAGGTTAAAATCATGATTATCAAGTCAAATATGGTCAATATGCAAGATTTGATCAAGAAATTCTCATTGTTTCATCAAAAATCAAGATTTGCACAAAGTTACCTAATTTGGGAATTAGGGTTAGTTGAAAGTTTCTAAATATGGCAAGTTACACTTGATTGATCAGTCATCTTCAAGTTCATTTTTCACCCAGATTGAAGCTCCAATCCAATGACAGCTCTTTATAAATGTTGTTCCTTGTTAAAACACCTTTCCAACCATAGTCAATTCATCATCATTGGATTAAAAATGAAGGCAATATGATTGTCCAAAGTTGAGTATTTCAAATGATTATTTTCTTGACACTTAGTGAAAATTTCACTAAGTTATGGATCTCCCAAATTTCCAGATTTCCGTGCCAAGATTTCTTCAAGTTACAAGCTTCAATTCATTTTATTTTCTTCACCAATATTAAAGAGCATGAAGAGGATTTTCCAAAGAATACAATAACTTTACAAATGATGGAGAATTGAGAAAGAAAATGAGAAATGGCTGGAGAGATTTCCAAGGCATCATGACTGACTCATCTGGCCAGATCCTGGGCATGACAAAATGCAGAACTCGGGATCAAATTTTAAGCACCTTGCAAGCTTTGTTTCCAAAATGTTTCAACAACAATTTTATTCCTTGTTATCTAAGATTTCCAAAAATCTAAGAATCATCTTAAATGGTGGATAGATGATGGGGGTATAAGCGCAAGGCTGGAGCATTTTCATTAGGCACGAAGCTTGCAGCCAATCAAGCTAGAATTTGAGTTCTTGTGCACAAAATGAGTTTCAGTTGTAGCCTCTCACAAACCACACG